AATTGTTATGTGGAGCTCTACTAAATTAGCAAAGTGGTGTAGGGTATCATAAAATCGGCCCCGGCCGACTTTAAGACTTTCTTTACTGGTTTTATATTTATATTTTGTAATGCGCCATTTGTTATGCGTAAATGTTTTCGATATGCAAATAATTTTTATTTCAAAAATGACAAGGTGGATTTCGTTGGAAAATGGGTTGTCTGGGTTGTCATATTTGATTTAACAAATGCCTACTTTTTCGCGTTTAGACCTTTTGGTATAATTTGTAGGTCCCAAGAAGTACGATTTTGAAAATTGAATTCCCAAAAGTTAATACGATTAAAAAATGGAAGACACTACCGAAACTTGAACTTCGTGCAACACATCTTCCAGCGAGACTGATAAAGAAAATAATGGAAATGGTGAAGAATGGGAAAAAGTGTATGCTAGGAGTGATTCAAAATAACCCTGGCTTGGATAGAAAATAACAACAGCAAAGACAAGTTTATAAGAACAGGGGTTAATTCTATAAAGAACTTGGTGCCGGATGCTCGATGGAAGTATGTCAAATTGAAAGATAATCCTGCCGATAATCCTCCTTAGGAACAAGAAGTGCATCTCCAGATAAAATAATTGAGTCCGGTTAGCAGAAGGAGAAAAAAACTGGACGAGTATGCCAGAGAAGGCATGAAGGAGTAAGGCTGGAAATACATAAAGCGCATATTTGGCTGGCTTAAGTCATCGGCTGGCTTCTTCGTAGATGAACAAAGGAGTTTTAGGTTGACCTAGTTCGATTTTGCATGTCAAGTTCGAAGAGGGGCTATATCGGTCCACGATATCGTATAGTCCCCATATAACGGTACCCCCGATATTCAGTATTTAATGCTTTTAGCCACATTTGTCAACGGAATTGTCTGAAATTCTACACCAGGAGTTTCTTGTGAGCAATTTACCCCCTGAATGAGAATTGTCTATATAGGTTCACGATATAGTATATACCCCATATAAAGGTTCCTCCCATATTCGGTATTTTGATAATTTTAACCACACTTTTCAACGGAATCGTCTGAAATTCTACACAAGAAGTTCTTTGTGATTACTTTACCCCAAGACACACATGGGTCTATATAGTTCCACAATATCGTATATCCCCCCATATATCGGCAACTTCAGATTTTAGGTATTTTAAAGGATTTAACAGAATTTTTAATGGGTTATTTATTTTTTTTTTAAATCTTCTAATTCGTTCCAAATGGCGGAGGGTATTCAAAGTTCGGCCCGGCCGAAACAACTGCTTTTTTACTTGTTCGTTATAATTTGACATTAATATGCCTCGCAATGACTTCAAGCTTTTTATGTACTTGCACCTTTAGTTTTACTAACATATGAGACGTCGAAACCAACCAATTTGAGGAAAAAATTATATCCCACGAAGTATATAACGCGAGAAGAAATAACAAATTCAGAGAAGTTAATAATAACAAGTTAAAAAGCAATAACTTCGGCCGGGCCGAACTTTAAATACGTAACGAACTCTAAATACGTAATTTCAAACAATTCTGGTGAATAATGACGCTAAAATCATCAAAATACCGTTATACGGGGACAATACGAAGACGTGGACCTCCACAAACAATTTTCTGCTTTAGGGTGTAGTATCCATTTCGAACTTCAAATACCAAATTTAAAAAAATTCCGGTGAATAATGTCGCTAAAATCATCAAAATACCGAATTTAGGGAGGTACCGCTCTATGGGGCTATACGAAGACGGGGACTTGAACAGACAATTTTCTGTCTTAGGGTGTGGTATCTATTTCGAACTTTAAATACCAAATTTGAAACAATTCCGGTGAATAATGTCGCTAAAATCATCAAAATACCGAATATCGGGAGGTACTGTTATATAGGGGCTCTACGAAAACGTGGACCTATATGGCCCATTTACGAACTTAACCTACCTACTGGAAAAATAAACATGTGTGCAAAATTTTAGCCATCTATCTCAATTCATTCGAAAGATAGCGTGATTACAAAAGACAGACAGACGGATATCGCTAAATCGACTTAGAATTTTACGCTGATCAAGAATATATATACTTTGTTGGGTCTGACATGAGTATTTCGAGGAATTACAAACGGAATTACAAAGTTAATATACCCTCCATAGCATGGTGGAGGGTATAATAAACAAATAGACCGAAGGAGATGGAACAATGAGAGTATGAGGCCGATTACACAGCTCGTTATTAACCATCCGACAATATTCAAATATACAAAAGTCGAAACTGGACTATGTGATTATTGAAGATGCTCATCAAAATACATGGTGGTAATCGACTAACGGGAAGCATAGTAAAAAGGATATTGTGGATAAACAAGTAAAAAAGTATTGGTCGGTTTTGCCGACAGATGTATACCCTCAGCTAATGTTCGATTATTTTAAAATATTTTTACTTCTGTTATGAATTTTCAAACTCTTGACCCTCTATGGAGTGGGTTTGGAAAGAATGGTTCAATATTGTCCATATATAAGAAAATCGAATATTTATACCCAATTTATGGAAAATCATGAATTCCAAATTCATCTCAGGATTCTGGAGGATTCTTTACAAATTGCTATATCTAAATATATGTCTCTCATATATATTTAGATATAGCAATTTGTAAAGAATCGCTAAGTTGTTTCACAATTTATGACAGATAAAAGTATTGAAAATTTTTCCCCTTTGTGGGTGAGGTACCAGAAGGGGATACAAAGCATCTTCACAACAGATCTTGTATTAGCAAAAATGTTTGTATGGGTGAAATTTGAATTTTCAAAATTTTGCAAAAGAAATGGTCCGATCTCTACCATCTTTATAACAGATCTTGTGTTGATGGAAATATTGAAATGTACCATCTCTGGAATGGAATCGAATGTTGATCTTTCGCTTATTATGAACTTCATGGATATTCAAAATTTTGAGCGTTTTTGGGCGAGGTACCAGAAGGAGTGGACCGCCTTACTACCAGATCTTGAGTTCATAAAAATAGTAGGATGTGTGAAAATTGAAGACAACCGGACTCTTATATCATATTTTTTAAGAGTTATAATTATTCAAAATTTTGACCCTTTGTGGGAGAGACACTTGATGGAGTAGACCAATGCTATCCGTTTTGGCACGAGTCCTAAAACTGACGCAAATATTAGAATTTGCAGAATTAGATTATTGCTTCCTTTTCTGTACAGAAAATATTTATTTTGTAAATTTCGACCATTTGTGGGGAAGGTACCAGAAGGGGTGGACCGATATATTCTATCTTATCACCAGACCTTGGGTTAATATAAATATTGGGATGTGTGAAATTTGAAGGCAATCGGACTCTTACATCACATTTTATGAGAGTTGTAATTATTCAAAATGTTGACCATTTGTGGGGGAGGTACTTGATGAAGTGGACCAATATTGTCAATTTTCGCACCTGACCTAACCTGACCTGACGAAAATATTAGGATGTGCAAAGTTGAAGCACAATTGAATTACCCTTTGACGTTCGGTGCAAAAAATATTTTTTTTTTTTGAAAATTTCGACCTTTTGTGGAGGAGGTACCAGAAGGAGTGGACAGATATTGCCCATCTTCGAACTCGATCTAAGTTTGACAAAAATATTACGATGTACCAAGTTTGGACGAAATCGGATACTCCCTTCGAGAGCTTTCGTGCGCACCAGGATTTACTCCAAAGAGACCTAGGGTCTAAAACCATTATTTCGACTAGGCACGTTTTGACTGTATCAAATGATATATACCCTCTGTAGTCATATGGTTGAGGGTATAAAAATTATTGTTTTTGTTGCGACGAATGTATTTGACAAGCTTAGTTACAGAAAATGCGGAGATGGGAATACTCATTTGAAATTACTATACCTTAACATTTCTCACATTCATGCAATTCTGGAACAGTGCAATAGCTCCCGTACTTGTTAGTTCGACTCAACACAGGAGCAATTTCATAAAATAATGTTTTTTAGACGAAACCACATTGGAAGAATCTTCACACTACGAACAATTTTGAACCCAAGCTCTCTATTTGACATAATTCCCGTGTAGCGGTTCTAGCCGATATCAGGTTTATTTTTAAGCTTTAGCTTAATGGGTGGAGCATATTTTCATTGGAATAACTCCTCTATAAAGTAAAGACCCTAATTGTTGGTAATTTGGAGATCCCATATACATTTTCATTGTAACAGAAAAATTATTTAGTTGGTTTGAGCGACCCAACTTGGCAAATTATTCTTTACATTTTTGTCTGACGTTAATGTGGCATTATTTCATGATTTCAATCCAAACAATGATTGTTGTTGAAAAATAGCATATCTTTAAAGCTATCCCGTGCCCTTGTTGGAGTATCGTTCTACTTTTGATGGCATAGGTCCGTAGTACCATAACAACTCAGCATTTAAGTGCCTATGGACATTAATATTTTTTTTCGAATGGATTTTGAATCACTTATACATAGGCCACAATAACTGTGTCATTAATTATTCGGGTCATACAAACATATTTATAAAACAATAGTGTCGTTATCGGGCTCTTAACCCGATGGTCTCATGTGACCTTATTACAGGTATTTATAGACACAAATTGATGCACCATTTGTATGTGTAAATGGTCGCCTAAATGTATGCAACAGTAAACGGATTTCACAAGCAAATTATTGTTTTTTTTTATGCCAACTTCAATTTACGAAATTTAATTTTGAATACACACACACACACATCTGGATATTCTCATTTGGAGCAATACGCATACACAGGCAAGTTTATCAAGTTTATAAATCACAGCCAGTCAATTAACTTGAAATAATTAATTCAAATGTGCCAATGTTCGTTTTCTTTCGATACAAAATCAAAATTCTTCGAAAATAATTGAAATACATTTCATTAATTTGTATTTGTTGCTGCTTTTTGCCATAGAAATACGAATTCAGTTAAATAACAGTAATTAAATTGATGACATCGACGACACAGTTTCACTTACACTTAGCTGAAGGTGAGCCGCACCGAACCACGAACCACTCAAAATAGATGAATTACTTGCTTTTCACCTTCGATGTTTGTTTGTGTGTGTGGTTGTTGTTGTAGATTTTTTTGTCCGAATTTAATTGGTGAAATTATTGATTAAATTTGATAAAATTTCCTCGTTCGTTTGCCTTCTTTCTACGGCACAAGTTTTATGCAAATATTCGGTGTGTAGGTATATTTTCGTTTTCTTGTAAATTCATTGCGTATTTAATTAAAATTGATAATAATTTGTAATTTTATTAGAATTTTTGGCGATTTGAATTTGTTCTTGAAAACAATTCTCTTCGAGGAGAGCTACGTAGAGCACTGATACCACAACAACCGCAAGCGTTACTAGTACGAGCAAAAACGTTGCCAAGACTTTCTGAACGGATCTAGCCATTAGAACAAAATTTCTTTTCCTTGCACACACAGATACACACACGCACACAAATATACGTAGACATGCACCAACGTTTAAACATACCACACAACAAAACTACACAGAGCGGAAGGACCGCTGTCTAAGGACAAAAAACGAACTCTAAATAACAGTCTAGGGTTCGTGCGTGCCACTTCCCACCGGACCTCCAATGAAACCCTCGCGACCGCCTGTTCACCGAGTGAGTAACTCAAAAACTTGTGTCAAATCCTGTAAGGGTAAAAAAATGCACCTGCTCCGCTCCATCAACCGGTTTTACGGCAAATAGAAGTAAACGGCCGCCAACAAACGTCACAATGTCCAAGCAATTCGGGGTGAATATTGCCCATTGTAACCATGGAAACGTCTAACATTTTTAATGAGCTAATTGTCCACGGATCACAAAAGCAGACACAACAAGTATTCGATAATCGTTTCTTTTTTTTAAAGCTGTCAATAAAAATATAAAAAAAGTTAAATTTTATTTTCAGTTCTGGTTAGAAGCTGCAGCAAATTGTTCACAGTCCGTTGTGTTGTTGGTGAAATCAGTGTGCATATTAAGCTGAGAACAGGCATCCGTTCAAAGGTACAGAGATTTTTTACGGTCTGGTGATAAGGTTTCCCTAAAGCGAGATCTTTACAATTGAATATTTTTGAAAATTTATATTTCGACGACTAAAGATTATAAAATGTCAGATATAAGGTTCAATAGTGGAAGGAACATATGGGAAACGCCACCAGTAGGTGTTGGATTTTTTGCGGGAATACTACACTTGAGACTTTTATTTTGAATAACAAAGCTTTTTATATTCTCCACCATTCTATGGAGGGTATATTAGCTTTGTCATTCCGATTGTAACTCCTCGAAATGCTCATGATAGTCCCTATAAAATATGTATATTCTGGATCAGCTAAAAATTCTAAGTTGATTTAGTGACGTTGGACTGTCTGTCTGTCCGTCTATCTGTTGTAATCACGCTACCTTTCTAACGGATTGGGATAGGAGACTAAAATGTAGAACACGTTCGTATGTTGTCAGTAGGCAGGTTAAGTTCGTAAATGGGTCATGTCGGTCCACGTCTTCGTATAGCCCCCATAACGACATTATTCACCTTATCACATTTCGTATTTGAGGTTCATAATGGGTAATACAGCCCATGACAAAAAATTACTCATGCCGGTCCACGTCTTTGTATAGCCCTCATATATAGCGGGTTTCATTTAAGCGGTATATTTTGGATTTTTTTAATTTTCAAGTTTCTTCCAAATTTTGGAGGGTATTAAAAGTTTGGACCGGCCGAACTTAGTTGCTTTTTAACTTGTTCGCTCTAATAATAACTATTTTTGCGGTCTTTAGAGATGAATGGAAATTATTCTCTGTTTTGGTGTTTCGGCCATGCAATTCGCTGAGAGTTGTTGTGACGTTACATACATTTTACATCATTTTTGTATCTCCTCCAGAATGATGAAAGAAAGCCGCAATGACAACGACAAGAATGATACAAATCGCAGCCCGCTGGAAGATATTGTCTACTCTGAGGTAGAACCTGGTATAATAACTAGAGAGATGATAGAGGCAGCCTATTTGGAGGAAGGCTATAAAGGCGAAGAATCAAGACTGCATCGCATCGAACCAGTTGTATACGACCGTATAGCTTCATTACGACTGGATTTCAAAAGTAAAGCCGAATATTTTCTTGATACCCAATTAATCAGGGACTAAATTAGGCATCTGATTTTTTTTTTTTCAGATATATTGCGCATTGACCACTTATGGATGCTGCCAAACCTCACAAAGTTGTCACTGAATTGTAATAAAATCGAAACAATCGAACATCTTGACATGCTCGTGAATCTAAAAGAACTCGATTTAAGTTTCAACTATATAGAGCGCATTGAGAATCTGGAGAAGCTGGTCAATTTGGAAGTATTGTCGCTGTTCAGTAACCTCATAGTAAAAATAGAAAATCTTGATAATCTGGAAAAACTGGTTATACTAAGCATTGGCAATAATCTTATCAGCTCCCCGGAAGGTGTAAGTAATGAAAATATTTTGACATTAAAAATATCCCCTTGGGAATGCTTTGGCCCTCGTTTGCACAAATTGTGATGTGCCGAGTTGGGACTAACATCCTTATGTGTGTTTATAAAGAGAGAAGAAGTAGGCCGATATTGCAAATTTTCGCTCCTTACCTGAGACTGATTCTAATATTTTTGAAAACTTCGATGGGCCACATTTCGTGTGTATCGAATGATAAAACACATATTCCATAGGTAAATGACGTTTTAAGAGATAAATTATAGATGGAAGTCATATAAGAAATATTCTGGATATCTCCCGATATGTATGAAGAGACTTCGAGCCATTTTAGGACTAACTCCAATTCCGAAACATAATACCTATTTTGTATTGGAATTGGGCGTACAACGTTCAATATTCTCTGAACTCCTCAAAGCTTTTGTACTTTTGATCAATGTGGAAAACTATTAAAATTTGTTGGGAAGTCTGATTTATGCAGAATTAACCTAAAATAATATCGAACTCCGCATCTAAAAAATATATAAATATGTTGTAAAGTAGATATATACACATCAAAGTTACAATTTTTCTTTTAAAGTTCTATTGGAAAAGTAAACAAGCATCAGTCGGTTATGTCGACAGATGTATACCCTCCGTCCGTCTGCCTGGCTGGTGCGCGCGATAACTCTCGGTAGAGCTATTATCAAACTTAGATCGAGTTTTGAGATGGACAATATCGGTCCGATCATTCTGGTACACCCACCCCCCCCCCCCCCCCCACAAAAAAAGGTCGAAAAAAAACAATATATTATACTGCACTGAAAGAGAAAGGATAATCCCATTTTGCTCCAAATCCTAATATTTGCATCCGTGCTAGGTTAAGCGAAAATGGACAATATCAGTGCACTCCATCAAGTACTTTTCCCACAAAGCGTCAACATTTTTAATAATTATAGCTCTTATAAAATGTAACGTAATCACAATGTTTTATTAACAAGGTCTGGTGTGAATATGGGATACATCGGCCCACTCCTTCTGGTACCTTCCCTTGGTACTTTTGCCCATACCAATATATTTATCTGTATTAGATGATGTATGAAAATGGAAGACTTCGGTCGACTGCACTGGTACCTTGCGCGCATTTTAACATTTTCTACAAATTATCACATATCTCACATAAAGTGAAGGAAGTAACCAATATAGTCCAAACCTGGCACGTCACAATATTTGTATCATATTTATTTAGGATAATATTGGCCCATTTCTTCAGAACCTACTCCATAGCGTGTCAAAAATTTGAATAAACATAATAGAAGTCAACATATATTTAAATAATCGAACATTGGCCTTTGTGGGGGAGGTACCAGAAGAAAGAGTCTGAATGGAATCGAATGTTAATTTTGCGTTTTATGAGCTTCATGGGTATTCAAAATGTTGACCCATTGTGGGGGAGGTACCAGAAGGAGTGGATCGACATATCCCATCTTCACAGCAGATCTTGTGTTAGTAGAAAAAATGGGATGTGTGAAATATGAAGACAACCGAATGCCTTTTTCCGATTTTATAATCGTTTTTGTTATTCAAAACTTTGAACCTTTATGGGGGAGGTAACAGATTGAATGGTTCGATTTCTACCATCTTTATAGCAGATATTGTGTTAATAGAAATATTGAGATGTGCCATTTCACGTTTAATGAGCTTCGTGGATATTGAAAATGTTGAACCTGGTGGGGGAAGTACCAGAAGGAGTGGACCGATATATTCCATCTTTACACTAGACCTTGGGTTAATAAAAATGTTGTGATGAGTGTTTTTTGAAGACAACCGGACTCTTACATCACATTTTATAAAAGTTATAATTATTCATAATGTTGACCCTTTATGGGGGAGGTACTTGATGGAGTAGCACTTATATATTATATACCGTCTCTAGCCATATGGCTGAGGATATTATAAGGGCTTTTTTGAATTTTGTTCTTTACTCTATAGAAGCTAAAATGTTATAGACCATGGCACAATTACAAAGCTACCCCCAATACAATTTTTATACCCTCTATCATAGTATGGAGGGTATATTAAGTTTGTCATTCCGTTTGTAACACCTCGAAATATGTATTTTACAAAGTGTATATATATATATATATATATATATATATATATATATATATATATATATATATATATATATATATATATCTTTTAAATTTGGTGTTTGAAATAAATACTACAGCCTATGACAGAAAATTGTCTGTGCAGCTACTACATTATTCACCGATTTTTTTAAGTTTCGCATTTGAATATTGTAATATCTTTTGACAAAAGTTACCTGCATGCAGGTCCATGTACCCTAATGTAACAGCAACATTCGGTATTTTTAAGATTTTTACAGAATTTTTAACGGATTTTATTGTTTTTGAGAATTGCTAAATTCGTTCCAAATGGCCACATGACGTTCCAAATGGCCACATGACGTTCCAAATGGTTCGGCCGGCCGAACTTTCAGCTTTTTTACTTTTTTTTTTTTTGGTGTCCTTATTATGTCAAAACATATATACATTTTGTGTATGTATGTGTATTGTTTTTAATAAAAAATACCTACAATAAATTGAAATTATTTAGATTTGGTTGCAAATTAAAAAAACTGAATGGTCTTACTATTTTAGATTCCATCTCGTGGAATAACCCCGATATTCCATTCTTGTTTCTCGGGGTTTTTTCCCAATATAAGAATTTTGTTAAAAAAATAAAAATAAACAAAGCCTACAGTTGCATATTTACAAGTCTATTTGACACTATAAGACTCCAGCTCAGTGTTGCATTTTTCTAGTTTCTTTGGAGTTGAGCAACCATTCTTATTGAGCCATGGTATAGCCCACATTCACAAGAAAGAGATCATTCTTGCTTGCAAATTAAGTTAATAAAATGGCATCCTCCCATCCCCCACTGTAGCAATAATGGAAATCTACAAATTTCCAGCAGCCACACATGAGGCTCATTTAGTCTAGAGCACGAAGATGTAGAGAAAATGAAAAGAAACGACTACCGGCTACTGAGGGCAAACAAGAACTCCGGAAGAGTAAAGAAATACATTACTACAATTTTTACAATTTACAAAAAAAGATAAGCTCCAAACAATGTTTAAATATATTTTCATTTCAATTTACACAATGTTGAAAAATTTTTATTGCCAAGTCACAGTGAAAAACGTCGAGGGCACATGTCTGGTATTAGGTAGCGGTGTTATACTTTACATGGAGCAAATACAGGGTGAGATGAAAAAACTGCAACCAACTTCAGAAGGCTGTCATTTCTAAGCCACTCGTCCGACAGCTGGTTAAATTATTCCAGTGACAGCTCATTATATTGTTTACAATGGAATCTTCCAGAAAAAAATTATTCGTGAAGGAATTCAAGCGTGATAGCGTGATTTCTTTATATTTGGCTGGAAACCCACAAGTGGCTATCGTTGAATAAATCTTTTGAGTCTCGTAGCGTAGCCCGACGTCACGGAAGTGGTCGGAAGAAAACAGCAACATCAGCAGAAATGGTTCGAAAAGTAAAAAAGCAACTTGATCGAATCCCGCGTCACAGTGGCCGAAAAATGGCTCGTGAGCTGAACATATCGCAATATTAAATTTGGCAAATATTGAAAAATGAGCTCGGGGTAAAGCCATTGACATTCCAAAAAGTGCAAGAACCTACACCAGACGAGCTAAATAGTTGCTTCGCTTGGCCAAAGGTGGTGAACAGGCGAATTTGGTTTTCTCCGATTAGAAAACATTCGTTGACCAGCAGTTTGCAAACAAACAAAATCATCGTGTTTACTTGCCAAAGATGTCAGCTGAAAATGTGCACCATCGGTTGGCCACCAGAACTCAAGCGCCGGCCATGGTGATGGTGTGAGCCGCCATAACAGCCGATGGTCGATCTTCACTCGTATTAATCGACCGTGGCATCAAAATAAACGCCGAATATTATACCGAAAATATTCTGAAGGTTGTATTAAAGCCTTGCCTCAATCAGCTCAAGCAAGCGCTTCGCCGGAAATGGGCCAAAATACAGCAGAGCAACATTCGGGCAGCGTGTGACGGTTTCATTGACAGATTGAAGGCCATAATTCGTGCCAAAGGTGAACAATTCTAACAAATCTAAACTTAGTCTAAAATTTGATGCTGTTTCTTTCATTCAATAAAATTAAAAAAAAAAAAGTAAAAAAGTTGTAAGTTTGGCCGGGCCGAACTTTGAATGCCCTCCACCATTAGGTACAAATTTGGCAATTTTCAAAAAAATAAAATCCATGAAAAAAAATTTCTGTTAAAATCTTAAAAATACCGAATGTAGCCGTATATTAGGGTATATACGACGACGTGGACCTGCAAAGGCAACTTTTGTCGTAAGCTATTATAATATTAAAATGCTTAAATTGAAAAAAATATGTTTATAATGTTGCTAAAATAAATAAAATACCGAATATAGGGAGGTACCATACGTGGACCTGCAAAGACTGACATAGGCTGTAGTATCCATTACGAACTTCAAATACCAAATTTGAAACAATTCCGGTAAATAATGTCGCTAAAATCATCAAAATACTGAATATAGGGGCTATACGAAGACGTGGACCTTGAAGACCGATTTTCTGTCTTAGGCTGAATATCCATTTCGAGGTGTTACAAACGGAATGACAAACTTAATATACCCTCCATACTATGGTGGAGGGTATAAAAATGTAAAAAATATGGCGTTTGACTTTGTTGCACTTTTTTATCTCAATCTGTATACTAAAATATTGATGATATTTTAGATTATTTCTAAATTAAAAATTAATATATAAATAATTTAATAAACTGCTTATACATGGTATAATTATTACAGGTAGCAGCAAAACTCACTTGATTTAACTCTAGTATACTACTAGTGTCAAATACGATACGACGTTTTGTGATTTAATTCCATTTCTTGATATACAATAGGTATACACTCTTTGATATAAAATTCCACGGCAGGGCAATGTGAACATATTTGTTGCCTAAAAAAGAAGAATTAGCTGTTATACTTAACAAAACTCCAACGGCAATGGTGCAGAAACTTTTTCGCCGTTAAGCAACAGCGACACCACATTAGATAATATTTATACACGCAGTTTGGTCTCAATTTAAAAGAGATGTTGCTTTTTCACGATTTTCTAAGGATTGATTGATCACTTCCATACGGAGACAAGGTTGCTGCCAGTCAAACGGCATAACGGGTTGTTGACTAGGGCCTTCTTTTTGACGAATTAACTGTCGTGTCACTTGTGCCATCTCAACGTCTGCCAGTTTTTTCGTTTCCATTTTCTTTTGTTTTTCTTTTTTATCTAACGCGTCAACAACTAAATAAAACCACACACCCGAAAGATCCTCCAAACACAGTCAAGAAATATCTAGATTCCATATTTGAGCGAGTTATTTAAAAAACATCAAATGGACAACATTGAAAAGTGCAAAATGTCACAACCCCGAAACTCCCTAACAGATTATATCTCACCTACAATAGAAAGACCTGTTTAAAACATATTTTGTTTAGAGAACTGCACTAAGATTTTGTAGTTAATATATTTAAGAAAATAAAACAACATTTTTATTTTTCAGATCGAACGTTTTCGGTTCCTACCTAATTTGAAAGTCCTTAATCTAGAAGGCAATCCTTTAGCGCAAGAATCGGAATTCTCTCTAAGTGATTATATAGCTGCTATTCTGCCCAAACTAAAGTATTACGAATATGTGGCTATTGGAGACGAACAAAGAGAAAGTGCAAGAAGACGCTTCTAGTAAGTACAAATTGAGGAGTAAAAGTAAGAAAAAAGGTGGAATTGGTCTCATGGTGTACTCTGCATATAGTGTTTCGTGTTTTAATTTCCATTTTTCTTGTATTTTAGGGAAATACGGTTTGTTTTTAGTTTCAATCTTTTTTTATACCATCCACCATAGTATGGAGGGAATATTAAGTTTGTCATTCCGTTAGACCCCACAAAGTAATTCTATGTCGATTTATCAATGTCCGTCCGTCTGTGGAAATCACTCTAGCATCCAACGAAATAAAATAGGTTGATAAAATTTTACTCAAATGTGTATTATGTCTGCAGGACTTTTGGTATTTAAAATGGACCATGTAGGTCCACGTCTTCGTATAGCCCCCATATAACGGTACCCCATGATATTCGGTATTTAAATGATTTTAGCGACATTATTTGCCGGAACGTTTTTCAAAGATGGTATTTGAATTTCATAATGAATAGTACAGCCTATGACAGAAAATTGTTTGTGCAGATCCACGTCTTCGTACAGCCCCCATATAACGGTACCCCCCGATATTCGGTATTTTGATGATTTTAGCGACACTATTTACCGGAATAGTTTCAAATTTGGTATTTGAAGTTCGTAATGGATACTACAGCCTATGACAGAAAATTTTCTGTGCAGATCCACGCCTTCGTATAGCCCCCATATAGCGGTACCCCCGATATTCGGTATTTTGATGATTTTAGCGACATTATTTACCGGAATTGTTTCAAATTTCGCATTTGAAGTTCGTAATAGATACTACAGCCTATGACAGAAAATTGTTTGTTCAGGTCCACGTCTTTGTATAGCCCACATATAACGGTACCCCCGATATTCGGTGTTTTGATGATTTTAGCGACACTATTTACCGGAACTATTTCAAACTTAGAATTTGAAGTTCGTAATGGATACTACAGCCTATGACAGAAAATTGTTTGTGCAGGTCCACGTCTTCGTATAGCCCCCATATCACGGTACCCCACGATATTCGGAATTTTAATGATTTTAGCGACATTATTTTCCGGAATTGTTTAAAATTTCGCATTTGAAGTTTGTAATAGATACTACAGCCTATGACAGATAATTGTCTGTACAGGTCCACGTATTCGTATAGCCCCCATATAACGGTACCCCCCGTTATTCGGTATTTTCATGATTTTAGCGACACTATTTGCCGGAACTATTTCAAACTTAGTATTTGAAGTTCGTAATGAATACCACAGCCTTTGACAAAAAAATTGTTTGTGCAGGTCCACGTCTTCGTATAACCCCCATATAACGGTACCCTCCGATATTCGGTATTTTGACGATTTTAGCGACACTATTTACCGGAATAGTTTCAAATTTGGCATTTGAAGTTCGTAATGAATACTACAGCCTATGACAGAAAATTGTTTGTTCAGGTCCACGTCTTCGTATAGCCCCCATATAACGGTACCCCCGATATTCGGTATTTTGATGATTTTAGCGACACTATTTACCGGAACTATTTCAAACTTAGAATTTGATGTTCGTAATGAATACTACAGCCCTTGACAGAAAATAGTTTGTGCAGGTCCACGTCTTTGTATAGCCCCCATATAACGGTACCCCCCGATATTCGGTATTTTGATGATTTTAGCTACATTATAAAGAGATTTTTTTCAAGTTTCGCATTTGAATATTGTAATAGCTTGTGACAAAAATTGCCTATGCAGGTCCACGTCGTCGTATAGACCCTAATATACGGCTACATTCGGTATTTTTAAGATTTTAGCAGAATTTTTAACGGATTTTATTTTTTGAAAATTCCAAAATTTCTCCATGTTATGTTTCAAATTTTCAGATTGATACACCTAAATGACAAATTCCCATTTGAAACGTTGACGAACTTTTATTAATTGTCTTTCAATTTAATGAAACAAATTTCAAAAAAGTATATTTTTGAAATAGAAACACTTTAGTGGGAATTTTTAAATTAATTTCAATTTTCAAAAACAATTCTACAAATCCTCAAATGCGAATGATTTACTTATAGGCGTGTTCAAAAGATTATTAAGGTCTATACCTATACTTTGTATTGTTGCTATATCACAAGTTTTAACCGATAAATGTATATACCAATATTAACTTTTTAGCCGAGAACTTCGTGAAATAGAGACCAATGAAGAAATGGAGTTACAGGCACGCTCACAAAAGCTAAGAGAAGAGGAGAACGCGAAGAGGTTATCGGTAAGTTTCGTCGAACACTTAAACGAACACCAACTGTACGAATCCTTGTGGAATGGTGACGAGGACGGACGAATTTTAATGATGATTGGAGAAGCTGCTAACGATTTGGCCGAAGAGTATGGCAATGATATATTCGAATTAACCCAAGAGATCTACAAGCTAGGCTTAGAAAAGTACGATGAGCGTCAACGAGAAATTGACAAATTTCATCAAAGTATCGAACAAGGTCATCTCGAAATTCAACAAATGGGTCACAAAATCCTTGAAGATTTCTCGAAATACAAAGACACTTTATTCGAAGAAGCTATTTCTTGCCACAGGATTATCGAAGCACGACTGATGCGTGGCGATGATGCCGAAAATGAAGAAGTCATCAAACAAAGGGACACATTGGATCGTATAACCACGCAGTTCGACGATACGGTCAACAATGTTTGGCAACAACTGATGAGTCAAGAATTGCAGCTACACGAGGCAACCGAAGTAAGTTCGATTTGAAACCATTACCCAGACCATAAAATTTAAAACTATGTAGTGTGATTAATAATTGTTGCGAATATTCGAACGTAATGCGAAATGTCACACTACAGCCTAATATAATACTACAGTCTATGACAGAAAATTGTCTGTGCAGATCCACGTCTTCGTATGGCCCCCATATAACGGCACCTCCCAATATTCGGTATTTTGATAATTTTAGCTACATTATTCACCGATTTTTTTTTCAAGTTTCGCATTTGCAGGGTATTCAAAATTCAGCCCGGCCACACTTACAGCTTTTTTAATGGTTAATGCAATAAACATATTACAACAACCCTTTCCCTGCAATCTTGTTAACTTTTATTTGAATTAGAATAATTTTTTTAACAACTGGGTTGTTGAAGCATTAAAAAATGATTTTTTAAGTCTGCTTGCGTTCTGATCTAACTAAAAATAACTCGATCTAAATTAAAAACAATTCTAGGAAACAACAATAAATTTTCAACGAAAAATGCAAGAAATGATAGCAAAGTTTGTGGAACAAGCTCAAACTCATTTCGGCCAACTGCGTGATGTTGCGGTACATTTCTCGGAGAATCTGAACGAAATTGTTTCCCGTTTCATAGCTACAAAATTGGCAATGCAGGACATAAAGAGCATTCCAGATCCACTTAGAATATGTATCGAAGATCGAGAGGCTATTGGTAATCTGATAGCTGGTATGAAAGATACACATACTCAAAAAATTGATGAACGAGAAGATCGGCTAATACAAAGGAGCAAGGAGTTTGTTGAAAATATGATTTGCGAATTAAACAAGTAAGTATCAAATACCTGGTTAGCTATATAAAAGTGTCATATCTTAGGACCTCTTTCTGTGTGACGCTACGCAAGTGAATGCGAACGAGAATCACATTTCAAATATCTATATATATAAAAATCAATTTTTGTTTGTTGGTAACGGAATCAGTTGGAAACGGCTGGACCGATTTGCATAAATTTTTGTACAAACTTTCGTCATACCCCGAGCTAGGTTTTTAAAGAAAAAATATTGACCACGCCTCCTTTTACGCCCACTATTACGATTTATCTAAAATCTTTATATTTGCCAAAATAGTGAAGATATCGGTTTGAGAATTATTACACGAGATGCTGTTGGCTTTCCATCCAACCCTAAGTACTTATTTAGGGGCTGAGGAACGCGCCTACTTTTAAATCTATCTCTCTATATGTAAAAGATAGTTGTGTTAGTTACTACTCTTATAACATAAAGATCGCCGGTCTGATTTAATTTATAATAATTTTATAATAATAATTAATTAATGATTAATGATAATTTTAATGATTTAGACAAATTCGGAATTGCCTCTTGGCAGAAAAGAATAAAATCCAAAAAAAAAAATCGCGTAAAAATATGAAATTTGAACATTTTCATTTTGACTTTTAAAATACACAATAGTAATGTTTTATATTGCATATTTTTTTCCATTTTGACTTACTATTTTCGAATGTACATTTGTAGTGTTTTTTTGTTTTTTTTTTTTTTTTTTTTTGGAATTCTAATATGAATTGTAGGTTTTTTTTGGGTAGTATAAAGCCACAACGGATAAAACTGTTATTTAATGATTTTATGTACTTATTCGTAATACCCAATAAATACATAAAATCTATAAATAACAATTTTATCCGTTGTCGCTTTATATGAAAATTCTAAAATCGGGAAAAATCGACAATTTTTCAATGGAATCGAATTTCAAAATAATAGTACATTCTACCGACAAACTTCGTAGGGATCTTTAAAAATTTGCAGCAAAAAATCAGCGAACCAGTTGAAGATTCTTTTTCTTTTTTTTTCTATATTGAAGTGTACATTTGTTATTGGATTGAATTCTGAATGAATAATATTAAAAATGAAATAAGGGCGCAATACGATGTTAAATGCTTTCTACTCCAGGACCTACATCGTGCTTCAGCTGGAAGATGCGAACCCATTTAAACAAACAAAAATGACCAAAGAAGCGTTATGGGGTTAATTTCAAAAAGTGGACCTGCTTCTTTCATATGACAATAAATTGTCAAATGAGAACACAACATGCAAAATACATTGGGACTGCAATCAGTCAAATACCGACTATAAAGAACGCAAAATAGAAATTCTACCTAAACATTCAAGATACCTTTAATCGCTTTGCCAGGTCATGATATTGATCATAAAACCTGATAACGGAACAACCCGATTTCAAGTATATTCTACATTTTAACCATATTTTTCGTACTAATTTTAGCTTATGTTGGTAATTTAAGAAGAAACCATCTTTACAAAAAATTATCACGTTTTGGTATCACCATCATATGATTTAAGGTATTTTCGGGGTCCTGGTCACTTTTTTCATTTTTTGGCCCTTATTTGACATCTTTGTTTGTAAGGGGGAAGAAAACCTCTTCTTATAAATTTTTATTTTTCGGAAAAGTGCGCATCTTAGTCTTGAGGCTACCTGGGGTAATAAACCCTGGGGTAGAAAATCATCTTACAGATAATTATCCTCATAGCAATTTATTTAAGTATAGTCCCCACATTAGTATACCCCCAAGTCCACTTTCCCAACCAATGTGTGGTCAGAAAAGAAAATTTGGTATTCTATTTAATTTGTAACCCCCAAGAGAATATTGGTTGGGAACGTAGATTTGGGATGTATGTCTATATGAAATAAACTCCGAAATGTCAATCTGGGACTCATTCAGTCGGAAATTGTGGCAGAAACATGAAAAAAATACGAAATTATAAAGCAACTTTATTGGATCTCCACCGCACAATTTAAATGACAAACAATTAATGCCCATCTTACGGTACTCGGAGCAAAAGAGTATTTTTTTGGCTATTCTGACAACATTCTGCCTTCAAGTATGAGGTGGACAAAACTGAATAACACGCAGTACGGGATTTTAAGTGTTGGAGATACAAATTTCAAATTATAGCTCATTTGAATGCTTTTTACAACATCAAAAATTGAGCTGAATTTTCACATGGGGCTATTATAGATGTTCTTTGTCATATAGGTATTCAACACTTAAATTAAAGCCTATAGCTGATAAATAAGATCTGGCTATTCAAAATATCTAAAACCGACGGTAATTATAATTTTTGCCATGAATATTAATTTATATTTAGTCATGGAGTCATTACTCATAATCAAGTCATTACTTATAATCAAAATTGGAGTAATTATAATGGCGTCATTACTTATAACCAAAATTGTGCCGATATGATGTGTAGTCTTTTTGGGGAGTATAAACGGACAAAACTGTTAATTATCGATTTTATGTATTTTTGTGGAATTATACGAATAATATCATTTCAGAAGATAATAAGCTGAACAAAAATCAATATTTTAATAACTTTTTTAAAATCGAGGTAAAATTAAAAAAAAATTAATGGAATCGAATTTCAAAATAATAGTACATTCAATTGACGAATTTCGTAAGGACCTCTAAGCATTTGCTGTAAAAATCAGCGAACAAGTTGAAGTTTTTTTTCTTTTTTCAATTTGCTTTTTTGTCAATTTTATATATCATATCATATTGAATTCAATCTTTTTTGCGAACAAAATAAAGAATTATTTTCACCATATAAAAGAAAGTATGTCAGTTACTACTCTTATAACTCATGACGGATTTTAAGAGTTCATACAATTTCGGATGGTACGCAATACCATATTAAATGGCGATCTTTCATGCTTAAATTGACATTTAGCTTTCAATTCCATGACCTACATTGTGCTTCGGCTGAAAAACGCGAACACATTTAAACAAACAAAAATGACCGACAAAGCGTTATGAGGCTCAATTCTAAACGTGGACCTACTTCTTCTATGACAATAATCCGTCCCATGAGAACTCAAAATGTAAAATTCATTGTGACTGCATCTGTGAAATACCGAATATAAGTGGTGCAAAATAGTAGAGCGAATTGGACATTTAGTATGAAATGGATTCCTTCCTAACCTTTCAAGATACCTTAAATCGCTCTTGGAGGTTATGATATGGGTCATAACCCCAGGATAAAGGTAAAACCCGATTTCAAATATATTTTACATTTTAAGTATATTTTTTTCATACTAATTTCGACAAATGTTGGTAATTTGAGAAGCAAACCTTGCAAAGAATGATCACGTTTTGGTATAACCATCATATGGTTTAAGCTATTCATTTTTAATTTTTTTTTTGGCCTTTATTTAGCATCTTTGCTTCTAATAAACAAAAAAATTTTAATTTTCGGAGTAGGGCCTATCTTAATCTTGACACGTTCATCAATTGATTTGGCTTAAAAATAGTTTTTAGGCTAGGGTAGAAAACCATCTTATAGATAATTGTCACATAGCCATTTATTTAAGTATAGTCCCCACATTATGGGGTACACATAAGTGGACACAAGTCCACTTTCTTAACCAATGTGTGGTCAGGAAAAAAAATGTTATATTCTATTGAATTTGTAACCCCCAAGAGAACATTAGTTCAGAATTTAGATTTAGGGATGTACGTCTATATGAAATAAACTCCAAATTCTCAAACTGGGACACATTCGGAAATTTTGGAAAACATATAAAAAAATTTAGAATACTTGAAAGCAACACTGGACCGAATTTTTTTTTATCGTCATTGAATTATACTATGATGAAAAATATGGAATTTATGGGGTCTCCAACGCACAATTTAAATGACAAAAATAAATAAATTCCATTCTTACGGTAATGGGTGTAAAAGAGTAATTATCTTTGACTATTCTGAAATTATTCTGCCCTCAATTATGAGGTGGACAAAACTAAATACCACGCAGTACGGTATTCTAAACCTTGGAAATAACAATTCCAAAGTACAGCTAATTTGAAAAGAAAATGTTGACAAGCTCTTTACAATATCAAAATGGAGCTGAGTTTTCACATGGGGCTATTATAGATGTTCTATATCATACAGGTTGTTGAAACTCAAATTAAAGCCCATAGCTGAAAAATAAGAGCAGGCTATTCCAAATATTTAAAACCAACGGTAGATGAACATCTATTATAATTTTTGCCATGAATATTTTTCTATTTAGAAATTACTATGGAATTATTACTTATAATAAAAATTGTGCCACTTACATAACTCAGCTCTGTGATTTATTATGCTTTAAAAAATATACGTTAAAGACTAAAAGTACGGGCCGGCAACGCAGACCGGGCCAGCTAGTATATTTATAATTTTTGAAATATGATTTCGAAAATCGTCATGCAGCTCTGGCGGAAGTATACGTTATGCAAGCCACACACGTTACAACTGCTTGTACAACTGGGAGAGGTTGTATTCAAGATTGTATCGTTTGTGGCCCGGTTGTACGAAGTTGTGTCTCGGTTGTATGAAAAATCAAAATTTTTTGATATTTGACATGTTGTACCAACCGATTGTAATGTTTGTGGGCATGTCGCATACAATTTCATTTTGTGTTTATTTTCAAAGAGGCAACAACATTGTTTCGCACATCAAAACAACACGAAATCCAATCAAATGTGTGATTTTAATGAAAATATAAATAAAATTCAAAAAATGAAAATCAGATATTCAAGGTTAAGCTTTTTAGAAAACATAATTATCTTGACTTCATTCTAACGGCCCACTTCGAGAATAGCATCAAAAAAGAGAAATGCTTTTTTCAGTGGGATCAGTGAAAAATTGGAGTAAAAATAGAACTGTATTACAAAATTAAATACATTTTAAAATGACAAATCTTGGCATTATTATTGAAAAGCAAGGTATTGACTTATTTTAGTGCAGTAATTTGTGTG